TTCAATATGTCCATAACTTTTGACTTAGTGCATTTTTTTTTAAGGGGACTGATAAAACACCATATTCCTGATAATGGTTATGGCTGCAGGGGATGCAGGCAGATGAGAAAGAGTATGAGCAATCTTCTAATTCTTACCTTATTGGGTTCACAGGTGTTCAATGTGTCATTATGCTTCATAACCCACAGAGGCTACATGTATACAATATTTGCATGCATCAAGCATCATATAAGCAATTCTTTCATACACAAATATGCAAATATACCATAATGTGGTTATTATAAAAATAATCTTATTCAAGTCGGGATAATAAATATACTGTTTTAACTAAAAGCTGAAATTAGCTACAAGAGAAGAGGCTCGGTACAAACCATGCCATCCTCTAACACCAGCCATGGCACAACCCTGACAAAACCAGCTGGGCTATTTCCGTCTCAGGCAGCCTCAACAGCCTTCGGCGGCTGAGTCAGACGACCTTTTCTGACAGAGCAGGCATGCCAGGCTGCTTGCAGGAGACCAAAGCTCAACAGTCTTCTGAGTGAAGCACTCCAACCCCTCCCCCTGGATTTTCTATTATAAGTTGCTTTTTAAAAATGCAGAAACAGGTCACTTCTAAGAAAAACCCAAGGTGGTGGGATAGGCACCCAGGAGACTGGCAGAGGGGCTCAGGGGGAACTGAGGGGGATAAGAAGACCCCTGCAAAAGCCGAATGAGTTCCCTTAGGAAGACGGGACAGTCCTCACTCATTAAACACACAGAATGCAACGCCAAGAGTTGTTCCCTGGCTGGTTTTGCACTTAAACTTGTTAAGTTTATCAGGGAAGACGACTGCACCCACTCAAAGAGAAGGAGGTCCAGAAATATCACTGTCTGGGCCAAAAAGAGAAACATCTTTCTGGCATGTGTGCCAACATGCACACCCACTTGTACTATTTCTCCCAGTAGCCACTCAGTTCCTTAAGGGGATGGAGGCAGGTGGGTGGGGGCGGGGGGTACAGCTGGCGTTCACTGTATCACAACTTTGTGGTGAAGCATGCAATTGGCTGCAGGTTTTAAGAAATATGAATGCAATATTCATATCGATTTTATTAAAGGGGAAAACAGACACACTCGGTCACCTCATTGGCTTTATACAACTTGTAAGCTTATGGAGAGCACATCTGAAAGAGGAAACCCTTCTGGAAAGGAGGAATATTCCCCCTTTTAGAGAAACTAGAAATAACTCATATTGAGGGCAAATTTGATACTCTAATTCAAGATAAACATCCTGATTTACTTCTTGACAGAAAACATTTACTGTAAATTAATTAGAGAAGAAACTACAAACAACAACAAAAGCAAGAGGCGACTTGTATGTTCCTTTGCCACTCTGCTTCTAAGGCCAAAAACAATTTTGAGATGCCTAAGGGAACCATTGTTAATATTATAGATATTTATAGTTCTACTCTCCTTAAAACACGGATTAACAGTAGCTAAAAGGATGTACATGGGCAAAAGGCTGCAAAGAAGCTGCACCGCAGAGCGGCACGGAGCTTTGGAAGACAGGCTCGAACCCAGGCTCTGCTTCAGAAAAGTCCTCTAGTTCCTCCTCTGTAAGAGAAAGGAGATGAGCTAAGAGTTCTCAAAAATATTTTTTGACTGTCTGAAAGTACTAGAACAGACGTTCAGTCACCATATTTAAGGGAAATTTGTGGAGAGCTGCAAGGTTCCAAGAGGCTACAAGATAGAATGAACCGAGGTGAAGACTGAATGGACCCATCATAGAGCTACTGATCACAGGGTGAGGCTTTTCTCAAAGCCAGCTCCAAGGTATATGGTTGTGGAGGAGAAAAAGACCATGATCAGAATAACTGGCAAGGGAGAATAGGAGACAGGAATAAATTAGCCAAAAAGCTCTCTGCTTGATTCTAATAGTTACCATTGAAATGGACGACTTCCAGAGATTTGGTATCTTTCAAAAGTTTGAAAAATCATCCACTTATGATGATTTTGAAAGTATTTCATAAAATAATGGAAATGAGCAGACACCTGGAATCAATCTCTCTATGGTTCTGTCCTAGCTGTGTTAGCTGTGTGACCTCAGGTCCCATATTTAACCCTCTTCTGTAAAATAAGGATAATATTGGTTCCTACCTTATAAGATTATGAGGATTACAACAATAATGTACATAAAGAATACAGCAGTGACTAATACATAATAAATACTTGATTAACAGTAGCTATTATTATAGTAAGTAGCAGGCAGGAGAAAATGTGGGTAATTTATGATCTCTGAAGATTTCTATTTAATACCACACTGCAGAGACCAGCTCATAATCATCCATCCCACTAGGATCACCATCAAATAAAGCAGGACAGGAACAGAAGAGAATTAAGAATCCAGGAGGTCCATGAAGGTAACAGAGTGCATAGAACATAGTGAAGAAGAGGAGCTGGAGGTCCAGAGTACTCACCAGACTCAGAATAATACAAAAGTCACAAAGTCAAATGGACTTTTCATATCAGAAAATACTCCCTCTACTCACCATCCCCAATTCTAAATGATTTTACTCTTTTGAGAACAAAGTTCTTATAAATCAACTTACGAGCATGAAGACCTCTTCTACTATGGAGCTTATAATAATCCATTATCGGGCGCCTGGGTGGCTCAGTTGGTTAAGCGACTGCCTTCGGCTCAGGTCATGATCCTGGAGTCCCCAGATCGAGTCCCGCATCGGGCTCCCTGCTCGGCAGGGAGTCTGCTTCTCCCTCTGACCCTAACCCCTCTCATGTGCTCTCTCTCATTCTCTCTCTCTCAAATAAACAAATAAAAATCTTTAAAAAAAAATAATAATCCATTATCTAAAAGCTGTTTTGCTTAGCTCCTAAGCTAGAATGACAAATTAGATTTCATCTTGATCATTGTAACTAAGCTCTGTCCAAACTTTTCACAGTGATGATGTTCTATACCTGTACTGAAGCTATTGTTGACAGTAGTCACTAGCCATATGCAACTACTAAAGAGAAAATTACCTTGTTTAATTTTCATTAATTTAAATTTTAAACGTTACATGTGACTAGTGGCCACCCTGTTGGACAATTGCAGGTATAGTCCATTGTGAGTGGCTGACAGAAGCACCGTATTGAAAAGGATCCCACAGTGAGTCTGCGTCTAGCAGGGAAGAGTGCAGGGATAGATAGAGATGTCTGTTCTCCGACAAGGGGGGCTAGCCTTTACCATATTTACAGGCTCGGTTAAAGGCTCCCTATCCCTTATACCAGAAAAAAAAACAAACAAAAAAACTCCTCTCTTTTCTAGTTATCTACAGTGATTCTCAGACACTAGAGGGTCATTTTCTGTTCTTAGAAGAAATAAGATTGGCTGAAAAGAACCGAATTATAAAAGAAGAAAAAAAAGAACTTCAGACAGGACAATGCATAATGCCCTTGGTATTCAGAGAAGGAATATTACTTCCAGAAAGTGTTACAAAAGCACATAAAATCAACAGTGCTAAACTACCAGTTATTTTAAGCTAGGTTATAGGCTTTTTTCAGTGATACCGTATATGTGCCATGGACAGGTCATTAAGATGATTCAATAAATAAAAAAAGAAAAAACAGATTATACAGTGAGAGTAAACCACACTGTCCATTTTGAATGCAGAAAATATACTTAAGCCATTGCAAAAGAAACCATTATGCCTGGGTTGAAAGTACCACATCCTCTAGAACTTTAAAAATAACTTCACTTTCCAAGAGAGGAACAGAATTCTAACATTTGGTTTTTCAAAAATACCACTGTGCTGCCTCCATGAAATACCATCTTGGACAAACGTATGCAGGAGTCCAAAGACGCCACATACGAAACTGCCATCACATGAGAAAAACCACGAACATATATTCTCATTTCCAGATCCCACAATGGGTTCCTATAAAGCTCTCCCAAGGGAAAGCTATCTTAAACCTTCATGAAAATTTGGTTCCAGGGTGATTCTCAAAGTCTTAAGAATCATTTTGAAGTCTCCTTTCAGGTTCATATATATATAAACAAAATGGCAGGGTTTGAGTGTAAGCCAACTATTTCTGTCTCAGAGCTTTAACCCTAGAAAGGCTCTAGAATTAGTCAAGTCTCTCCACACCATGAGACGTCCAAAGAAGAGTCAGTTAGTTCCTTAATTCAACTGCTCCAAACAGAACCACATCAAAGCAATTATTTGTACTACCCTCCTTCTTCCTTAAAGAATTCACAGTATCAAATACAGTAATGATATAACTTACTACTTTTCTGGGGTTCTGTATATAAAAATTTATCTTGCAATTTTACCCAAGGAGGTCTATTTTACGCAAGTACCAAAGGACAGTTATAAGCTAGCCAGTCTCATGGCTTGATCCCAAAGAGAGCATTCCAGTGAGACCCTAGCCAACCAGAAGGCTAATGTTACAGTAAAATTTCAACTATTACATATTTATTTTTTTAAAGATTTTATTTATTTATTTGCCAGAGAGAGAGAGTGCACAGCAGGCAGAGGGAGAAGCTGGCTCCCCACTCAGCAAGGAGCCCGATGCAGGATTTGATCCCAGGACCCTGGGATCACAACCCGAGCTGAAGGCAGACGCTTAACCGACTGAGCCACCCAGGTGTCCCTCAACTAATACATATCGTAGAATCCTTCGATATCCAAATTTTTTTTTTTTTAAAGATTTTATTTATTTATTTGAGACAGAGAGAATGAGAGAGAGAGAGCACATGAGAGGGGGGAGGGTCAGAGGCAGAAGCAGGCTCCCTGCCGAGCAGGAAGCCCGATGCGGGACTCGATCCAGGGACTCCAGGATCATGACCTGAGCCGAAGGCAGTCGCTTAACCAACTGAGCCACCCAGGCGCCCCCTATATCCAAAATTTAAAAGCAGTCATTGTTTATCCTCCAAAAGACAGATGAATTGTTGTACATTTGCTGAACTAATACGTAACAGCAAGTTTAAAAAGCAACCTTTGGAAAGCAGAAATAACCTCTTCTCTTACCTCTACCACTGTGGTCTCTGCAGCTTTGCACATCGGCAAGTTGAAATTTCTTGCACTTTTCCTATATTAGGAGTGGGGGGAAGTGGGAAAAGAAAACCAAAAATAAGAAGAGTTTCTCTCAGCTTTAATTATAGATTAAAAGAATTTCTATAAACTAAAAATCTGTGAATCTTTTAAAAGAATGCATCATATTTTCCATAACTGTTAAAACAATTTTATAAATAAAAACAATGGCCACTTCATTCAATTACAGTTTTTATGGGGTTGAAGGAAAGAGGAACTATTTTTCATGTTCAACATATAGATCATACACAGAAAGATAAAACAGATATTAATAAATCTACTCTATTTAAAACTAATTTGCCTAAGTCTTTTAACTGGGATGCCACTTTGTTTCTACAGTTATATATTTCACTAAATTTGCTATTGTTAAAATATTAAGGAAAGTAGCAAGTGCTTTATACGAGAAGGTATAGTAATTATATTCTCTATTAAAAAGAGACCTATTGCTGAAATAAAATGAAACATTCATTGGTAATGTGTGAGTCATCTATAAAGATCATTCCGGGGGACCAATTTCTAATGAAATTTTTTGACGTACAACACCCACATTAGACCCTGAGGTGTAAAAATTTCCAGAAAGCACCAATTTTGCTGATGGTTTTACACTCAAGTTCTTAAATTAATGCATCACCACCAACCATAAAAATTTTAATGTATTTTTTTGTTTCTGAGAGTGTAAGCTGACTAAAAAAAAAACCTTATTTGATAGAGGGAAATGAGTTACATCTTTCTTTTACTAGCTCTTTTAGGCCACCAATGTTTATCTCACTTAGATTTAAGGATAAATATAAAGACAGGTGTGTCCCTGAGACATAAGTCCTTGGGTACTTTCACAAATTGCTAAGTTGGAGTCCACCAGCCATCCAGCACGTCCAGCATCAAAAGCTCCAAGGGCAGTGTGGCCAGAGGCAAAGGTGTGCAGGGCTGTCCTAACAATGGCCTAGACAGACCTTTTACCAGTTGTCCCCCAGGGGAGGTCATCCTAGAAGTCAGCATCTTAAGAACCTAAGTCACTTGACCATTGCTGAAGAGCAGTCTCATCTCCTATCAATAACCACAGGCATAAGTCAATGCTGAGAACAGCCCCTGTGCAATCTTTAGATATTAGAGCCAGACAATGAAACACACGATAAACTCAAGGAAATAGTTTAAATAATTCATTTCCATTTGCTTCTATACAATTTCATTAATCTTTTTTAAAATGCAAAATGTGTAATTGCCAAGATCAGTTGTAATCAAAAACTGGTTGAATTCAAGAAATCAAATATAGCATTAATATCATATAAGATCTTCAGAAATGAACAAAAACAGCGTAAGAGTAACCACTGAGAATTTAACTGTGATCTCACCAAAGGTCCATTAGGTAAAGATAAAAATTATTACTAAAACAGTAAATGACCATATTATAAGAAAGAAAATTATTTCTGTAACCTAACAGGCAAAGTCTTCAAGACTTATAGGTGTATATTCAAAGATGGTACAATTTTCAAAACAACCATATAATTTATAATATATAAACACTTAGTATTTAGTATGCTCAGGGTTATCAAAAGATCTTGAAATCTATTAAGCCTTTGGCTTAATATCTGTGGCTATCCAAATAACAAGAATGAAAGTTTAGCACTGTCAAGATTAATCAGCTTTTTCAGATAGAACCTACATAAGTATTTCCTAGCGGACACCAACAGGACTGGAAAAGAACTGACCTAAATGGTTGTTAGCAAGCTCTTTCCAGAATATCCAAATAATTTAGGCATTTTAAGACAATGCATATTAATTATATAAAAATTAAATACAATTGTGTGCTTTTCTCACATTTGCTAAGTATGTCTCAACATTTTAACTTGTCCTGGCAACTAAAATACACACAGAAATATAGTCTGTATGAGACTATATACAAGGGTATATCGATTCAAAACAGCTACCAAGCAGTGCAATGTGGGCACCGCCTAATCAGAACAGACCCCCACAAGTACACACCAGCAAGAATGCACAGCAGCAGCCTTGCACATGCATGCACACTGACCTGGGGGCTTGTACGACTGTAAGCCACTTTTTAAATGAATCTTTAAATACCAAACACATCAAGGTATCCGTTTTGTAATCATAATTTAGGAAATGCAAAGTTGCTGAAATGCATTTCATTAATATTTAAAAAAAAACCAAAAACATCATACTACCTGAAAATCACATTTCCTGCTTGGTCTGCCTTCCAAGCTTTCACCAAAGCAAAATCTCCCGTAATTGCTTCCTCCAAAATAAAATGCTGACCATTAAACTCCCTCACCTGCAGGAGACAAAGAGGACATTGTCAGATATGTGCTGTGGTAGAAGCAGAGAATAAGGATACAAGCCTGGTCAGGGAAGGTTTCTCAGAGGGAGAACAATCTAAATGGAGATCTCAAGGGTGAGTAGTGGTAGGAAACTAGGATTTAGTCAAAGTGGTGGAGGGGAAACCAAGGGAACAGCATGTGCGAAGACTCAGCAGTGAGAGCTTGGTAAACTTGAGGAACTGAAAGTTCTATATGCTTAAGGCATAGACTGCACGTTAGCACTCTTTTTATTATTTGTGTGCATAAGTTATATGTAGAGAACATGAAAAATAGCTCATCTTTCCCTCCACCCCGGGGGCGGGGGGAAACAAAACTATATAAGCTGCATAAAATGGGCAATGTATTTTGTACATAAAATAGTTATAAAAATCCATTCATCTCTCCTGATTAATCTATAACCATCTGATGAAATTTTAATTGGAATTCCTAGAATTTGCAGATGAAACTGGAGAATTGACATGCCATAGCTTTCCACCTGTGAACATAACATATGCCTGCCTACATTTTCTGAAGTCTTCCTTCACCTCTTCGAATTGCTTTTAATCCCCCCCCCCAAAAAAAAGCTTTGTGTATGTTTTTTAGGTTTATTCATAGGTACTTCACGGTTTTTGATGCTACTATGAGTATTCTATGTTCTTCTATTACACCTCCTCTCTGTCATTACTGGTCTAATGGAATGCTATTGATTTTTGTATGTCTATTACCTTTTAATTCTACTACAGATGGGGGGAGGGGGAGGGGAAAAGAAGCATAAAGTAAAACTATGCCGTGGCATTTTGTTCCTTTTTTCTTATTGGGGATTTAGCTCTGCGAACTGAAACAAAGAGAGGAAAGAATGTCCGTGCTGGGCTCCATCCCACACAGGATGGAGCCGTATAGGAAGGCAGAACTCCATCCTCGTTCGTACACCACCCCCTAGTGGACAAACCACGCGCATATTACATAAAGCTGCGGGACAAAGTTCAGTACATTTACTTTTCTTCAACTATGGTTTAAAGCTAAAGAACAGGGCACCTGGGTAGCTCAGTTGGTTAAGCGACTGCCTTCGGCTCAGGTCATGATCCTGGAGTCCCGGGATCGAGTCCCGCACTGGACTCCCTGCTCAGCAGGGAGTCTGCTTCTCCCTCTGATCCTCCCCCTCTCATGCTCTGTCTCATGCTCTCTCTCTAATGAATAAATAAAATCTTTAAAAAAAAAAAAATAAAGCTAAACAACAGCTTCCTTAAAGACCTTACCCCACTTTCCCGCTAGAGAATATTAATGAATTCAGGGGATCACTGAAGAAGGAGGATCTTATGAATGTGAAACTTAGACGAATCATATGAAAGATATTTAAAAATTACACATCAATATACAGCTTTTTAAAGAGTTTCATGTATTTCAAAGTCATTACCATAAACACCAATGATGACAGATGAGTTATGTTGCATACAGATAAGGAGGATCTTATGAATGTGAAACTTAGACGAATCATATGAAAGATATTTAAAAATTACACATCAATATACAGCTTTTTAAAGAGTTTCATGTATTTCAAAGTCATTACCATAAACACCAATGATGACAGATGAGTTATGTTGCATACAGATCTAGAAAACTACATACAGATCTAAATATATGCTAATCTAAGGCAATGTGAAAAAATTGGCTTTTTTTCCCTATTCCAATTATATAATTTCCTGACGGGTCTATAAACCAGCAGCTGCTGATGCTAGCCATTCTAAATTTTTAAAACAGGAAGGGACTGGTTTTGCCATACTAGCTATTACACTCACTGGAAAGAGTTGTGTGTTTCCCAGTTACCACTTCCTCTTTTTTCAGCCCTTTCTTGAATCCACTCCAATCAAATTTCCACCATTCCAGAAAAATCCTCTCTTCCAGAAAAATCATTCTTTAAGGTCACCAATGACCTCCATGTTTCTAAACCCAATGTTCAATGCCCTGTCCTGTTACCCCACGTCTTCTCACTCTGACACAACTGATCACTCCCTCCTTTGTAAAATTGCCCGTCTTCAAGTTACCATACTCCCCTTGGTCTTCACTTACTAGACACTTTCCCATTCTTCTTTGCTGCTCCTTTTCCTCTTCCCACCCTTTAAATGCAAAAGAGGTATTCACTACCTGTACTCTAGCCCTAGACACTCAGTTAGCCCCACAGATTTAAATACTATATGCTGAAGACTCCAAAGCTCCTATCCCAGCACTAAACCCTCCCCAAGCTGGAGACGACTGAGCAACTTCTGTTGGAGCCTCAAGGATGTCTCAAATGCATCCAGTCCCAGACAAGGCTCTTTGATTACCTCCACACTTTGCCCATCTCATTAAGCAGCATGCTTGGTTCTTGTCCTTCCTCACCCCGTAACCAATCCATTGGTAAATCCTGCTGGCTCTGCTATCAACATATGTCCTGATTCCAACCACCTCCCACAAGCTCCACTGTTAACCACCTCAGTCTAAACCACTTCCACTCCCTCCTGGATCAACAGCCTCTCAATCTCTCTCACTGGTTCTGCTCTTGGAACCCTACCAAAAAACTCTCCACCCAGCAGCCACAGTGATCCTTCCAAAATGTAACTCAGACCACATCTCTCCCATGTCTGAATTCTCTGCTGTCCCCTCACCACTCAATAAAACCCAAACTCATGTGATCTGGTTCATGCCTCCCTTCAGCCTCCCATCCTACTGCTCTCTGCCTCATTTACTCTGTTCCAGTCTCACTGCCCTGTTGTTCCACAAACAGAGCTGGCCTGACTCAGGACCGTGTCCTTCCCCTTCCTTCTGACCAGAGCACAACCCTATCATCTTCACCCACTCATTCTCCTGTTTTATTCTGATCTCTACTAACTGTCACTTCCTAAGAGAGGTTTCCCCTGACCCAATCTGGAACACCCCTTCCCTGACCAGTGACCATTCTCTCTGCCCTTACCCTACTCGATTTTTCTTCATGGCACTTTCTTTATTGACATTATGTGTTTATTAATTCATTCCTTGTCAGCTCCTCCACTAGCAGGGGGACTTAGTCTAGATCATCTCCTTTTCTACCGTACACGGGCCAGTGCCCGGCAAATACCACTGAATTAGGAAATTTACTCACCTCCTCTTCCTACCATACGTAGGGGAAATAAAGAGCTAGCAAGAATCATTTCAAGAAATTATCTGTCACGTTCCTAGGTAATTCAGACCAAAGTACAAAACTACTAGATTTGTGCACCTAACTCCAGGCAAAAATGAACCGAGACATTCAGGACAGACTCCAGTCTATCCTATATTTTCCCAGGGCAAGTTAATGCTCTAGCTTCTAGCAAACTCTCAAAGTATTAACCCAATTTTTCTGGGCATCATTATCTATATTACTAAGATCCATTTTAATAATTAGGCTCCTGTCTTACTTTGTCAAAAACTTTTTAAACCTTAATTAGGCAGTAAGGAAAGAAGCAAGATAGAATATAAAAAAAAATGTTAATCAAAACTTTGAGTCAATATAGGTCATTCTAAGCAAAAAAAGCAACGCTCCAGATGGAGGATGCTGCCAGACACAAACACTGAGCAGCAAGGCGCATATTCAATGACCTTTTATCTTCTCTCAAAACACGGAGGTGCAGAACATCCCTATAAGCAAAAAAAAAAAAAAATTATAAAATTCACTATAGGCAAGTGTGGTAGGAGATCCCTCGATTTACTAAGCTGTCATTTCCTCAGAGCTAAGCTCAGCATTTCTGCAGCCTGAGTTAACGCTCTTGAGCCATGTGGCCAGGGAGAAGGGAGAGGGACTAAAAATACAGTAATGGATTACTGTCCTGTGTAATTTTTACAACTGCCTCAAATCTGAGTATCTCAAATATCTATATGTGGAGTCCTATTCTTTTCTAATATGTGAGTGAAGTTACCTAGTATAAAGGTACCCCATCCTACCCAGCACTTTAAATAAAACTAAATTATTCAGTCAGCTCAAATATGTCCAGTGTACAAAAAGAAGGATAAAGGAGACAGGATGAATGCTCTATCTTATTATGTAATTACAACTGTCCCCTCTTTTTCAAAATTGTAGACAAACTTGTGATGTCCTTGGCTTTTTTTTCTCCTTCATCCACATCCAGAAGGGGCTTGAGAATGAAAAGTTTAATACAATATATATCATACACCTACTCTCTTTTCCACATGAGCATGATCAGAAGTTATAAATGCTCCTATGTTTGTTAAAACCTACCATAAAACTAATCTTGACTCACACATCTTATATAGATTACAGTTTCTTCCCATTTATTTATTCTGGTTTCTCTATGTGATTTTAATTATTGGCAGATGCTCAGTTTTAGCAGAAATTTTCCTAGCATAGGCCACATAGATGAAGGACAGGGTCTCTTCTTACACAGAGCAGATTTTATCTTACCTACCCACTGAGTGCACCTGGATCCTGTGCTGGAAGAGGTAGCCCGTGTTACCTGAATGAGAGCTACTTCTTACCTCTCTCGGCTTACTGGCAACAGCAATGCTGCCATCTTCGTTGTATTTGATCGGTGCCCCTCCTTGCTGCACCAGGGTCCCGTACCCGGTGCTGGTGTAAAACGCAGGAACTCCAGCCCCACCTGCACGAATCCGCTCTGCAAGCGTGCCCTACAAGTGAGCAACCACCACACCATAAGAAGTTCATTAAGCACACTTCTGTACGCGGATACGGAAACATTTACAGACACAGTTCCTCTCTCTAGAGGTTTATCATCCTAAACAGTACCTAGCACTGTATATTGGTGTATTTCGCTAACACGGTATGCTAGATTAATTGAAAACAAGTATTGCCCCTCTAGACAACAATCTCTCAATTCTTAATTTGCATTCGAATGTAACTGCTTCTTTGTATCATCGTGCTCTCAGCTTTCTGGTCTCCCACTGCTCTCCTGACATCATATTCTCCAACAGTCTATTTGTAATATTTTAAAATCAATTTTCAAATCTGAAGTATATCACTTTAACTATATATATATATATTTAAAAATATGTATTTAAATTTTGTGTTTTACTGTATGCCCTATGTAGGTATAGCTTGAAGCTTATCATGAATAACAATGCCATTATTATATAATAATAATATGTTCATTTACTTAGAGTTCATTCTAAAACATTCTTAAAAGCATTTTATCTACTACATTATCTAACTAAGAAAAAATCCAAAGTTAGGCAAAGAGTACAACATACAGGTAATTTGGTTTTTAAAAGCTAAGAGTACTTCAAATTTTATCTTAGAGTAGAAACAACTGTACACAAAGTTTCTTTGTATCTTCTTTTGATCATCTTTATCCCCTTTCTAGGTACCAGTTGTTCAAACCTGATTTCCCTGGCTGCCCCCTGCCCCCAACTGCTTTCCAACCCAGTTCTCCCACAGGGGAATAACTCTGGCCCTAAATATTTCCTAACACCCACCCTAACCCTGAAACCTATTGTTACAGTCTAGCTACATCATATTCATACTACATAACTGATTGGTCACTCAGTAGTAAGAACTGGTTTAGGTCTTAGTAATACTATGTTAAAATTATTTCAGCCTGAAAACAATTTTCTACTTTAACTGGGTCCTTTAAATACTAAACTCTAAGTGGGGACTAAAAGTTGGGACTTCAGACACAGGCGTTTGAAGTAGGGTGGGATAATCTGGGGAAGGCAGGATCTGAAGCATAACTGACAATCTTCCAGGTAACAGTTTCTCTATTCTATCTAATAGAGATAAGTCCATTTTGTACTGTATTTTAAGTTAATAACATTCACAAGATTAAATCATCAAAACAACCATAACCGGGCGCCTGGGTGGCTCAGTTGGTTAAGCGACTGCCTTCGGCTCAGGTCATGATCCTGGAGTCCCGGGATCGAGTCCCGCATCGGGCTCCCT